ACGCCAGCCAATAGCATCCTGCTCAGCTCCCCAGCAACCGATGACATCTGTGATCTGAGTGGGAAGCTGCACGGAGCATCATAGGTTGCTATGAGCTCTTAGATACCTGGGACCCTGTGGCCGCCCCTCAGAGGGTCACCTATCACACCACAATATAGAGGGAAGGGTTGGGGGGTAGGGGTGTTATTGGCAGAGCGGGGCAGCGTCTATTCTGTACCCGGATCTGATAGCGTTGGCAATGTATGAACGCCGAGTGGGATTCGCGTCGCCTCCATACTCACGGCCGCCTTGGTGTAATCTCCGGTGGCGAGAGACCCCTGAGAGCTCATCTCTGCGATCACAAGGCAGCCTCGACCCAAAGGCTCGCCGACCGCCTGCAGGCCTTGTACCACCCCGGGGCCGGGCACCGCATGGGCATTCACCACATCAGACCATGAAGAGATTTTATAGAGACCGCCTGGGGAGCAGAGAGGAACAAATGTCATATCACAGACACACTGGAGCAGAATGAGGTGAGGGCAGACAACACACGAGAAGGAGAGTTACAGTTTGTCACATTGTGTTCTCAGTGAAAGTCTTTTATAGCTCATGAAAGTTTTACAGATGATCATATTGGGGGTCTCGGGCTTCACGAGTGACAAGAAGCACCAATTTCTGTTCCGTTACACCAGGGGTCAGCAACCTGCGGCTCCAGAGCCGCATGTGGCTCTTTCATCCCTCTGCTGCGGCTCCCTGTCCCGGGGAGGAACTACAACCACGGCCATGGAATATGCAGCACTGCAGGGTCTATGGTGTGCTCTGCAGGGTCACTCTCAGGTGGGCTCTGCGTAGTCTCAGGTAAGCCCTGAGTCCAGTGCGTTACCAAGACCTGAGTCCAGTGCGTTACCCAGCCCTGAGTCCAGTGCGTTACCCAGCCCTGAGTCCAGTGCGTTACCCAGCCCTGAGTCCAGTGCGTTACCCAGCCCTGAGTCCAGTGCGTTACCCAGCCCTGAGTCCAGTGCGTTACCCAGCCCTGAGTCCAGTGCGTTACCCAGCCCTGAGTCCAGTGCGTTACCAAGCCCACATCTACCTATATACATGCTATAAATAGCATAAAGCTAAAAAACGATATATGACGTGTTATCTTCATTTTAGATGTAAAAAGGGTTTTGTGGGTCCCGGTTTTTTCTTTTTCTGTGGGAAACGGGTGCAAATGGTTCTTTGAGTGTTTAAGATTGCTGACCGCCTGCGTTACACAGCGAACAACTTGATCCTAAGTTGTTTGCTGATCAGCAGAGGAAGGAGAGCTGTCAATCATCACCCGCCCACCCTTCCCCCATCCCGGTAACAGCCCATTTGTCCTTTATCACCAAAAAGAAAAAGCACCTGGGGCCCAATTCTGAGTATCTTCCACACCTCCTGTTACCAGGAGGAGGTGAAGAGACCGATTTGGGGGTTTATGTGAAAC